TTTTTAACTTAACTTTCTTCCAACTTAAAGAAATCAACATCAGTTAGGTAAAGGTAAAGATTCCCCTCGCACATATGTGCTAGTTGTTCCTGACTCTAGGGGACGGTGCTCATCTCCGTTTCAAAGCCAAAGAGCCAGCGCTGTCGGAAGACGTCTCTGTGGTCATGTGGCTGGCATAACTAAATGCCAAAGGCACACGGAACGCTGTTACCTTCCCACCAAAAGTGGTTCCTATTTTCCTACTTGCATTTTTACATGCTTTTGAACTGCTAAGTTGGCAGAAACTGGGACAAGTAACGGGAGCTCACTTGGTTATGCAGTACTAGGGATTCGAACCACCGAACTGGTGACCTTTCTGATCGACAAGCTCAGCATCTTAGCCACTGAGCCACCGCATCCCTGACATAGTCAGTTACACAGAGACCATTAACCATGTTTGAGTTTCCTCTTCTGAAATGGAACATTGCCCTGATTTCTTTCTTTTCTTTGTGTGTGCGTAACAGGAACATGTGTGAGTAAGGGCGTGTGAGTAAAATCAGCCTGCAGAGGTGGAGAAAGGGTTTTGGAAGGCTCCCAGTAGGTTGACATCTCTAACACTTCCTCTGGTGGTTTTCTTGCCAAAGATGAATTTCCCTCCTGCAATATAGCTTCAAGAGGGATGATCTCAATGCAATCCCCATAAATCATAGGAGACAACTGCAGATAACCAAGACTTAGTCAAGCAGGCCAGAAATATTTCTATAATGGTTTCATAAGTAGGAGTTTTCCAATTCCAGCTGATGTTAAGAATGGGTGTCTTACCCACTCGGTTGTGGGTTGATTGACCATGTGGTGACCCTGGCTTGGCCTTCTCAATTGCTGTCTCTGTCTTAATCAGGAAGACCACACCTTAACAGATTAACAGAGTTGGAAGGGACCTTGTAGGTCATCTAGACCCCCCCACTCAAGCAGAAGACCCTACACCATTTCTGACAAATGGCAGTCCAATATCTTCTTGAAAGTCTCAAATGATGAAGGCAACTTCTGTTCCATTGGCTGATTGTTCTCAGTGTCAGGAAGTTTCTCCTTATTTCTAGGTTGAATCTCTCCTTGTTCAGTTTCCATTATTCCTCATCTGGCCTTCAGATCCTTTGGAAAATAGCTTGATCCCCTCCTCTCTCCGTGGCAGCCCTTCAAATATTGGAAGACTGCTGTCATGTCTCCCCTGGTCCTTCTATTCACTAGACTAGCCATGCCCAGTTCCTGTAACCATTCTCCATCTGTTTTAGTCTCCAATCCCCCTAATCACCCTGGTTGCTCTCCTCTACACTTTTTCTAGAGTCTCAACATCTCTTTTACAGTCTGGTGACCCAGTAGTGGGTTTCAAATTTTTTTAGAACCTCTTCTGTAGGTGTGGCCTGCTTTATGGGGGTGGTTTGCCGCCCATGTGACTGGGTGGGAGTGGCTTGCTGGCCATGTGACCTGGTGGGAGTGGCTTGCCAGCCATGTGACTGGGTGGGAGTGATCAACTTGTAAAATGTGGTGAAACTCACTTAACAACGCTCTTGCTTACCAACTAAAATGTTGGCTCAGAAACTCTGGCATTTGAAGCACGCAAGTCTTAAAGNGTCAAAACCGGGTAAGAAACGTGGGCAGGCGGGTGGATCCTTCGGCGTTCCCGGAAGTTACTTACTTCCGGGTTCGCCAACCAACCGGTTCGCGGGGACTGCCGCGAACCGCCTGAAATTCACCCCTGAATCCCACCCACCCCAAGGGAATATTGTAACACGCCTATCATGGCAATGAAACATGAACTTCTGGTATAATAGAATGGGCAGTGATTGTTTGATGCAGTTACATATATTGTTAAAGCTCTGTTTACAACAGGGGTGTAAAACTCGATTTCATTGAGGGCCACATCAGGCTTGTGTTTGACCTCATGGTTCGGGGTAGGCGTGACCAGGATGGGTGTGGCCAGCAGGATGTCACTTGTGTTGGGGGCACCTGTGGCAGCCCGAATGCTCTGCCGGCGAAAACGGACTCCTGAGTTCCTTTTTCGGCTGTAACAGCCTCCTGCAACCTTCTGCCAGTGCAAATGGAGCTCAGAGGCCATTCACAGCCCTCGCAAGCTCCATTTTCGGCTGGGACAGTGTCCTGCCACCTTCAACCAATGCAAATGGAGCTCACAGGGGCTTCACGCGGCCCTCCCAAGCTCCATTTTCACTGGCAGAGGCACCACGGGCCGGTCCTTCACTGTTTTCAGGGTGGCCGTGTGGGCCAGATCTAAGCACCTCATGGGCCAGATCTGGCCCCTGGGCCTTGAGTTTGACACCCCTGGTTTACAAATAAGTAGTGGGCAAGAAAGCCTTGAACTCAGCTCAGTTACTAAAATCCCGTCGCAGATTTGTTACAAACTGGGCCCCTGCTTTGATTTTATTCATTTGATTTTTGATGAGAGTCAGAAAAGTAAATTCTGTCTATCCTTCGATTATCATAGAACAAAGATTCACAGGATTAGAAGGGGCCTTCGAGGTCCTTTATTCCAACCCTCCTATACCATTCCGGGCTAATGACTAGCCAATCTTTTCTTAAAACCCCCCAGTGATGGAGGACCTTCAAATACAAGAAGGCAGACCATCCCATTGATGAATTGCTTTCATGGTCAGGAAGTTTTATTTATTTGTTTGTTTATTGAATTGATATGGTGGTCCAGTCACTCTCTGTGACTCTGGGCAGCTTACCAAGAATGAAAACCCAATATGCAAGCAATAAAACACCCCCAGTGACAACAATCAACCAAACGAGCCACTTGATGTGCTCCATCTCACTCTAGATCATTCCCTAGGCCTGTGGGGCAAAATCAGGTTTTCGGAGCCTGCAAAAGAGGATCAAAAAAAGGGAGTCAATCCAGTGGTGAAATTCAATTTTTTTACTACTGGTTATGTGGGCGTGGGCTTGGTGGGTGTGTTATAGCTTGGTGGGCGTGGCTTGGTGGGCATGGCAGGGGAAGGATACTGCAAAATCTCCATTTCCACCCCACTCTGGGGCTAGCCAGAGGTGGCATCTGCCGATTCTCTGACCTACTCAAAATTTTCGCTGCCGGTTCTCCAAAACCTGTCAGAACCTGCTGGATTTCACCCCTGGGTAAATCTAATCACTGTGGGGATGATGTTCCAAAGGAAGGGAGCCACCATGGAGAAGACCCTTCTTCTGGGTCCTGCCAGATCGACCTTCTAAGTTCCTCCTTAGTTCGAAGTTAAATCTGTCTTTAGCTCATATCCATCCATTGTTTCTTTTCCTGCCCTCTGCTTTGATTGATCTAACATGTCGCTATGATTGCAACTGTCACGATTTCAAATATGGCTTTTGATATTTATATACAGTATATACGGCTGTGGGTATGTATGTTCCAGCATGACCCTGGAACACCTCAAGCAATTTCAACCAAACTTGGTACATAGATGACTTACTCTCTGGAAACAAATACTGTGGGGGTAAGACATCCCTAAAACCCCTCGGGGGGTGTTTTCTATTAAGATACAGCCTGTTGTGCCTTAAAATGTCATCTACTGTGCTGCCTTAAATGGGTTCTACTGTGCAGCACAGTGGAGTTGCCATGGAAAACGGCGTCACAGTACTCCACAAGGGGGATCCCTCTGGTAAGGGGGAAAATTCAACATTAGAATTTACATTTGGTCCGGACATTATAAATAAATACCCAGGCAACGCCAGGTTATCAGCTAGTGCAGGATAAATCAAAAGTGCTCACCTTGGGAAAAATAACAACAACAACAACTAGATTTGTCTTTTTCTTTTCCAGGCCTTGAACAGCAGTCTGTATAAGAGTGCCTCTCCTTACGGTTCTCTTAATAACATCGTGGATGGCTTGAATTCCCTTACGGAACATTTCTCTGACATTTCCCTATCATCAGATGCCAGAAAGCCAAGCAAGAGACCTCCGCCAAACTATTTGTGTCACCTTTGCTTTAACAAAGGACACTACATCAAAGACTGCCCACAGGTAAGAACCGTACACTCTTGGGAGACCTGTTTCCTGCACAAATGAGGTTGCACATACATAGTCTTCGACTTAGGACCATAAGAGCCCAGAATTTGTGTTGCTAAGCAGGATAGTTGCTGAGTGAGTTTTGCCCCATTTCATGACCTATCTTGCCACACCATTGTTAAGCAAGTCACCGACCAGGGTTGTTAAATTAATCAAACTGTTGTTAAGCAAGTCTGGCTTCCCCATTGACTTTGCCTGTCAGAAGGTCACAAAAAGGTTGATCAGATGACCTCTTGACGTTGCAACCATCATAAATAGGAACCCTTTGCCAAGCATCCAAATTTTGATCACATGACTGCAATGGTTGTAAGTGTGAAAAATGGTCCCAAGTATTGTGGCCCACCAGCAGCCAGCAGAGCTGGCAGCAGATACGGACAGTGAGGAGGTTGGGGAGGAACATGGGCCAGTCCTTGAGTCTGGGGAAGGCTCTGATGAGGGCTCTGTGTCAGAGGCAGACAGGGGGGCCAGAACCATATGCCAGTAATCAGCTGCCTTGAGAGTCAGACATCAGTGAGGCAGATGAACAACTGGAGTCTGTTCCCAGTGTGCACATGCACAGAGTTCCCAGATAAAGGGAACAGCTAAAGAACAGGGNGGTTTAGGGTTAGGTTTAGGGTTAGGTTTAGGGTTAGGTTTAGGGTTAGGTTTAGGGTTAGGTTTAGGGTTAGGTTTAGGGTTAGGTTTAGGCTTGGTGAGTGTGGCAGGGGAAGGATACTGCAAAATCTCCATTCCCACCCCACTCTGTGGCCAGCCAGAGGTGACATTTGCCAGTTCTGGGAACTACTAAAAAATTCTGCTACCGGTTCTCCAGAATCTGTCAGAACCTGCTGGATTTCACCCCTGCTGTATATGCTACAATATTGGGACCGTCTGTGAGTCAAATCACAGGTCAGAGGAGAAGGCGCTGCGGGAAAAAGATGACAATTGCTCTTTAAAAATTTAAATCGAATTGATTCAAATCAAGCCTTTTTACTACTGCTTTAATTCATGATTTAAATTGTGATTTAAATCAAATCCACCCTGCAGAAAAATGGCATAGTGTCCAACTTTTAGTCCAACCGCCTGCCCATCCTGGATAAATGGTTGTCCAATCTTTTACTAAAAACCTCTATTGATGGAGCACTCACAACTTCTGAAAGCAAGCCGTTCCGTTAATTAGTTGTTAGGGGAAAAAAAAACCTCCTCCTTATTTCCAGGTTGACAAGTTCCCTCTGGCAAGCTTCCATCCATTACTGGAATCACCATCCCATGCCGAGACTCAATCCTTCTAAGGAGCACGCTTTGAACATTTCTAAACATCAAGGAACGTTTGACGTGACATTTTCAAATTGATTCAGGGTATGAAAGTGAAGCTGTGACTGATTTTGTTTTCTTGGGCTCCGAGATCACTGCAGATGGGTGACCGCAGCCATGACATTAAAAAAAATGTTTGGGAAGAAAGCTATGGCAAACCTAGCCAGCATACTAAAAAGGAGAGACATCACATTGCCAACAAAGGTATGGTTTTCTTGCTAATAATGTACAGCTGTGAGAGTTGGACCATAAGGAAAGCTGAGTGCCAAAGAATTGATGCGTTCGAATTGTGTTGTTAGAGAAGACCCTTGGAAGTCTCTTGGGCTACAAGGAGATCCAATCCGTGAATCCTAAATGAAATCAACCCTTCTTTGAAAGGACAGATAGTGAAAGCTGACGCTCAATACTTCGGCCACCTAATGAGAAGAGAGGACTCCTTGGAAAAGGGCCAGAGATTTGGAAAGATGGAAGGCAAAAGAAGAAGGGGATGGCAGAGGAGGAGATGGTTCATTGACACAATGAACATGAGTTTGGGCACTCTCCAGAAGACAGTGGAGGACAGGGGGAGGGGAGGTTGGTGGTCTACAATCCATTGGATCACAAAGTGTTGTACATGACTTAGAGACTGAACGATATCAACAACTGCAGTTTTGTGACTGTAGCATCCACCTGTAAGCACTCAATGTTATCCATCTGAGAATTGCACACCTGCAGGCATGTATGAACTCCAGGATATGCTTTGGAACACAGGACACGGTGGCTCAGTGGCTAAGATGCTGAGCTTGTCAATCAGAAAGGTCAGCAGTTCGGTGGTTCGAATCCCTAGCACCGCGTAGCAGTTTGAAAGCACGTAAAATGCAAGTAGAAAAAATCTGAACCACCTTTGGTGGGAAGGTAACTGCGTTCCGTGCTCCTTTGGCATTTAGTCATGCCGGCCACATGACCACGGAAACATCTTCGGACAGCACTGGCTCTTCGGCTTTGAAACGGAGATGAGC